GGATGCCTCAGACACCTTCCCTCTCAGCACACCAGGGCCCCTGTGTCCCTGCTGCCTGCTCTGTTATGAGGCACTGATCTTTACTTCTCTCTGTCCTCTCCTAGTCCACGTTACACATACCAGTACAGCCTGGGCTACCTTTGCCAAATTGTACCTCGGCATCCCCCTTTCATATATGACTGGCATCTCTGTTTCCCTTCTTTTCTACCTCCTCAGCCCCTTCCCTGCCCCATTCGCAGTAGGCCCTTGTACCTATTTTGGGTCTGCTTCCCAAATGGCTTCTCTGGTCCCCTCCCTTCTGTAAGCCCCATCCACATCCAGGCATCTCTGCTCCCCAATCCTGCCACATCACCTGAGGGTCCACTTCTACTCCCTTTACTTACCGAAGGAGCCCTGCACCTCTGCTTCCTCCCTTGGCCAGCCACGTGGATCCCACCTTCCCCTTCCTTGCCACACAGCACACTCACCCTAGTGGTTCCAGCCACACCCCCGGCTTTAGCCCCAACTCAAGCTCCTACATCCCTCCTAGGCCCCATACCTGGTGCATGGCCTCTCAGTCTGCAGGGGCTGCCATAGTCCTGGGGCTTTCTTGGCAAGTGCACCCTAATGCCTATTTTAAACTTGAAGGTGTCCTTGGAAAGATAGAGCAGCCATGCTTGTAAGCTAGGTTTATATTGATGGCATTGTTTTCTAGAATGGGGATTGGGACCAAGACACGAAAGGAGTCACAGAGGTCTGTGTTACCTTGAGCTCACCCGTGCACCCATCACCTGAATGTCCCTGTTTCATTTGATCAGAGTCAAGAGCACTCTGGTCTTGTTTTATTCTGTGGCTGAGATCAAACAAGTTGTTCAAGTGTCTTGGGATATGTTTAATTAGATTAAGAGGCAAACAAGAAGTCACAGGTGAATGAGTGAATCACAAGTCATTACTGGGGCCACAGGAGCAGGGTTCATCTGAAAAGAAAGGAAAAGAGAAAGAGTAGGCCAGTAGGTCCATAGAGCACATGTGACCAAGTGGAAAATGGATGGGGGATCGTGGACATAGGGGAGAGGGATAAAACAGAGTCCTGGCCAGAAGGGAGAAATGGGGACACAATTCTCAAAGCTAACCCAATCTAGACTCAGAATTCAGACTGGTGCAGCATCCATGCTTCCTTGTCAGTGAAACCCTTAAGCCCTTTAATATTGCACTCAGGTTGGTTGTTCGGAAGCAGCTAGGTGGGAGCTAGGGCCTGCAGCTGCTTGTCTCCCTTTCAGTTGTCATCTCAGGCAGGCACCTGAGGGACAGGAGCCAAGAAGGAAAAGGCCCTTTGTTTTCTTCCTGGAGTCAGTGCTGCGCAAGCGTTTGTCATCGATTCTTTAACAGCCTGTAGGGAGGAATTATTACTCCTATTTCAAAGGAGGGGTAAATGTGATCTGGTGACACCAATCACATCGTTCATAGCCAAGGGATCTGCAGAGTTATGGGTTTACACCTGGTGTTTGTGACATCTCAGCCTGTGCTCTTGGATGTAGCACTGTCCTCTCAACCATGAAAGCTGGACTGCAGGACAGTCCATATCTGAGTGATGGACAAGTGACACTCGAGGGCAGGAACCACTTGCTTTCATTTCTGTATTAGGAGCATCCGTTACAGAACTTTGAAGATGTGTGGTAAAAATAGAACTGGGCCAGCATTGTGGCCAGTGGTTTAATGATTGTAATGTGGACATCTCATATTGGAATATTCATTTGCATTCCAGCTACTCTGCTTCCAATTCAGCTCCCTGCTTTCACGCCTGGGAAGTCAGAGAATGATGACTCAAGTACTCGAGTCCTCCGCCATCCATGTTGGAGACTTGGATGGAGTTCCATGCTCCTAGCTTCAGCCTGGCCATTTGAGGAGTGAGACAGCAGATGGAAGATCTTGCTCTCACTCTTGCTGACGCTGTTAACTCTTTCTCATGCTGTCACTTGCCTTTCAAATATGTAAACCTTTTTAAAAGCTAATTGCCTGAAATGGGCTATTCAGCAGTTATCTTTTATTTGTTATTTATTTATTTATTTATTTGAAAGTCAGAGTTAGAGAAGGAGAGGCAGAGATAGAGGTCTTCTCTCTGCTGATTTTCTCCCCAGTTGGCCGCAGCAGCCAGAGCTGCACTGATTTGAAGCCAGGAGCCAGGTGCTTCTTTCCAGTTTCCCAGGTACAGGGGCCCAAGGAATTGGGCCATCTTCTACTGTTTTCTCAGGCCGTAGCAGAGAGCTGGATTGGAAATGGAGCAGCTGGGACTCGAACTTGCATCCATATGGGATGCCAACACGCAGGCAGCGGCTTTACCAGGTATACCACAGTGCCGGCCCCAACTGTTATCTTTTAAATAATCAAGCACGAAGCAATCTGAGATTCTAAGACACTAGGAAAAGAGGTTGGTGCCTCCATTTTTATCAAGGAACTTTTTCTTCATTGAACCTCCCAATATCATCCTGCACTGTATACTTATATAAAACCACCTACCCTTACACATATACTTCAGATGGCCAGGCTTGCTTGCTTTCAGGGAAAATTGCCAGGCTTGTTTTCACTGTAACTAATATTTCTCTGAGCATCAACTTCCATTGTCTTGGTAACTGCGCCTCTCCGCTGGGCTTTGTGTCCATTAAGGCACAGGAGGCTGGGGGCAAGGCTGTGGCTGGTTGTAGGAAAGCTCATTTTGTTACACTAAAGAGTCACTGTTGGGAAGTAACTAGCTGTGTGCTTTAGTATCCACGATCATCCACAAGGCATCCCTCCCTTTTAGAGGAAGAAAAGGAGCAGCCTGCTGGAATACCAGCCTTAAAGAAGTGCTTCGTATTGCTGTGAAATACACAGGGGAGCCACACAGAATGCAGCATCTGACCTTGACTCCAGGGCAAATGGTACTAATGTGAACTCAATGCCGTTTCACTGGGCCTGGGAAAAATATAAAGCCCTTTGTCCTATGCCTTCTGAGCAAAGCTACTGAGCCACTATTCCTGCTTTGGAAGCTGAAGATGGCCAAGCACTTTGCACCAGTATCTGAGTTCTCAGGGTCTCAGGTGTCTCCCTTGGCTAGATGGCTTGAGGGGAAATTACCACCCCAGTCCTTTTCCCACAAGCAGGTGCCAGAAGATGGGTTTCTCTTTTGCATCCAACAGTGTTTCAGGGCACCGTGACCTCTTCTCAGGAGATTCTATGCAGTTTCCTCCTCTTAACCCACAGTCTCCCCTTTCTCTAGAGACCAAGTCCCCTTTCTTCAGGTCAAGCCTCATACAATATTCTAAAACGTGTTCCCAGGACCAACAACATCAGCGTCATGGGAACTTGCAAGAGATGGAGATCTCAGTCTGTACCCCAGACCTGTTGAATCAGAAACCCTGGGAGTGGATCCCAGTGAAATTCTGAGGCACTTTAAGGTTTGAGATCCACTGTTTTTGGCCCCAAAAGAAGCTCATTTTGTGTATTGAGGATTTCACAGTAAAGGAGGAGGCTGGCATTCAGTTTTTATGGCAAAATCTCTTTGCACCAGTCATCCCATGCCACCTCTGCCAGCAGCGTCAACTCATCGTTTGATCTTCCTTTAGCTCTGAAGAGCTTTCGAACTGAGCCTCACCCTTTGATGCTCCCTCTGCTTTGCTTCTCTTTGAGAATTTCTCATTGTAGGTGAACTGACACCTCTTCACTGTATTGGCAGGTCCTCGACAGACTGTAAACATAAGGGACTTGTCTTTGAGGCAGGATGTGCAGGATTAGTCTAGACAAGGGCAGGAGTGACAGTACCTGCAGAGGATGAGGAAGGAAGATGACCCAGCTTGGGCTGTAACTTGTCCCTACTTGCGGGCAGTGGAGTGAGTGTATATTCAGGGTCCATGCGGGGTTAATCCAGAAACAGGTGGTTGTACCTATTTAGGGTGGGGAGCAGTAATGTTGCCATATCTGGGGACTGGACCCCTGGAGCTCAGCTGTCCTGGGCAGAGGGACATGAGAAGATCATGGTTGACAATGGACGAGGAAGGGTAGGAAGCAAGGAGTTTGGACCAAGGTGGCTGTCATGGGAAGCTGCAGAGACAGTGTTCTGGAAGGGCATCCACAGCAATGGTCATGTGGTGTGAAAGTAACTGAATTTTAGAGGAAAAGTCAGTATCAAAAGATACTGCAGATTTTACAATGACCATGTCAGAGGGCTTGAAGCCTGTGAGAATTGAGATGGTCAATAGTATTATGAGCCCAGGTTAATAGGAAAGGGCTATAGTCAGCAGGTATTCCAGCTGCCTGCCTTTATGTGCAAGCCCTTTGTGCCTGGGGACAGCCTTCACTAGCCCACATTCCTTTATCTGTGGATGGGGCCACTTGGTGACAACCCACAGCTCTCTTATTGCAGAACCCATTTATGGCTTCCATTTGTGATGGAAGCAGAGCTAGATAGCTGGTGCTGGGATTCTTCTTATTTGCACATTCAGTGTGTGAGGTTAGAGGAGTTGATGTTCATTTCATTCTCCAGTGTGACTGTGACATGATGAAAGACATATCTGTCTGGACCCAAGCAGTCTCTTTAGCAGGAATACCCAGCTGCTTCAGAGGTTCATCTGTGGACCTTTTCTAAAACTGATGGGTGATTTCTGTAGGTGACAAAAGGCCCGAAGGCCTCATTGTTGGTCATAATAGCTACACACTCACACACACACCACACACACACACCCTGAGGACCAGTGTCTCTCAATTAGTGTTAAGGGTTGATTATTTTCAGAGGCCTCATTCCATCCATCTCATCTGGATGACCTTGCTCCATACTGTGAGATGGGTTTCATGTGGGGCATGTAAGGAACTAAGCCCAAAACAGATTTTAAAAGATGATACATACCATGTGGAGAATCATCTTAGCTATCTTAAACATTTGTGAGTTCACATACAGGCTTGACAGTTACATTGCCTATGACTGCATTTTCAGAGGGTGATAAACTACCCACGAATGGGGGAATCAAAGAGTTCTTTGTCTTCCTTAGGTTATGCTCATGACTCCTGGGGCCACAGCTAGTGCAGGAGTTTTGCGGTATTGATGATACAGGAGACACATGCCTTTTAAGAAAGGAGGAAGAACTTCAGTTGTACACCTTTTCCGAGTGAGTACTGGATGTTGTGGATGTTGGGTTTCACAATAGGGCTGCATATTCTTTGACAGTTTTCCAACACTATGTCCCATCCTGTTGATGTGGATGGGTTTGTGACTACTTCACCAAGAGAGTAGGGCACAAGGGATGCTGTGTGACTTCTGAGGCTAGATCAAGGGAGCCAAGCAGCTTCTGCCTGGTTTTCTGGAATTCTCACCCCTGGAACCCTGAGCCTCTGTGTGTAAGTCTGACTACCTTACTGTGTTGTAATGGAGAGGTCACATTTAGGTGCCCTGAGCCCACCTTCTACACTTTGAGATAAATCTAGCCAAGCCATTTGTAACAAGTCCATGCATTCAAGTCTTACTGGCTGGGCACCTAAACCTTGTGGAGGGTATGAACCATCCTTGATCTGCCCAACCCAGATTTCTGACCTACTGAATCTGAGAGAATAATAAAATGATGTTCTGTGCCACTGAACTTTGAGGGGGTTGTTGTGTAGCAGTAAATAAGTAGAACAGTAGGTAAGACTGGAATTAACATAGTAACAATAGCTACATATGGTACTATCTTGTTCTACATATGGCAAAATAGGTCAAGCCAAAGTATTTCTAGTTAGCTTGGGGTGGGGAATGGAGTAATAGTGATATCAAGATAAGTGTATCTTTGTTTGAAGACAACCATGTCCTTGGGGAAGTACCCCAGAGAATTTCAGGTTGGGGACTGGTCACCCAGGCATAACTGCTGGTTGGTTTCAGGTGAACCATGTATGTGTCAGCATTCATGACCTCATTGGAGATCATTAAGCTGTCCAGTTCCCACTGGACCCTGTGGACAGGAATGGTTTTGGTGTAGTAGGTTGTTAACAAGGAATATTACCACAATAGTGCTGTAGAACATGCCTGTCCTCCCCCCAGTGGTTTAATGAAAAAGCATTGATTTATCTCATGAGTCTAGCACAGAGATCTGAAGGAGAAGTCGCGAGGACTTTGCTGTTACCCGCAGCATCACCACTTGAGCTGTGCAGGGGGTTGCCTGCTGCCGGGGCATCCCCATGTCAGTGCTCGGCCACTAAGGGGAAC